GGAGTCGGAAACGGACCATCCGCGCCCCTCTGCTTCTGAAGGGGGGGGGGTCGCGCCGCCCCGTGCGCAGGCCGTTTGGCGAGGAGGAGCTGAGGAGCCAGGAGGTGAAGGAGGAGCCGGAGGAGGAGGAGGAGGAGGAGGAGGAGGACCAGTGTAAACCCAAGAGCCATCAACGATGCTGGAATACTCGGAGGTGGATCGACCTCCTACTATGACACGTCGATTAAGGAATTGGCTATTTTCTGTTCGCGAAAGGGCGTCGCGGCCGTCATTTCTGCGGATCCAGGTCCGTCGAGTTCGGTCCCAGGCCGTTTTCACTGAAGGGAGGTTTACTATAGGGAGGTTTGCCCATCGCCGAAATACACCCTCCCTCCAAGCTCCCTCTTCATAGGCCCCTACAACGGTTCATTTCAGTTGAGGAATCTGCCTCGTTGGAAGACAACCGTCGGAAGACCCAGAAGCATGCCAAAACATAGTTCTCGGGATTCCAAGGCCACAGATCAACCTGACTTCTGCGTCTTGACGATCCTGGATCGTACCAGAACGCCGTTCTTGGGAGTTCAATCGCGCGAAGCAACTTAACCGTTGCACCCGCAAAATCCGGAATCCTTCCGAAACGCCAGTTCTACGCTGATCGAGGGAATCCGTGAAGCTCGCGCAAATGTTATATAAGAAATGTGTGCGGCGCTAAGGCAAGAGCCACATGTTGAAAAGGAACCGCCCTCAATCCGCGAAGCTCTTGCAATGCTTTAGAATGTCTTAGAATGCTTTAGAACGAATGTGCGCTGCGCTAAGGCGAGAGCCACATGTTGAAAACGGGTGATCCTCAATCCGCGAAGTTCTTCCAAACTTTTAAAACGAGTGTGCGCGGCGCTAAGGCGAGAGCATTCTGAAGACGGGTGATCTTCAATCCGTGAAGCCCTTGCAATGTCTAGAACGAATGTGCGCGGCGCCCAGGCGAGAGCCACATTCTGAAAACCACCCGCCCTCCATCTGTGAAATTGTTTCCAACTTCTTGCTTCAGAGTCATAGGTGGTGAGGAAGCATCAAGCGAAACGCCCGGCCCGCCCTAAAAATTGGCCTCGGGGTGCGAAAGGGAGAAGGTATTCGTAAGGAAAAGGAATAGAAGAGGAGGAGGAGGAGGAGGAGGAGGAGGAGGAGGAGGAGGAGGACGACGAGAGAGAGAGAGAGAGAGAGAGACACACACACACACAGACGGCACGCCCTTCAGGTTCCCTCGGAGGGTGCTGCACACCAGCCAGAGCAGACCGGGGGCCATGCTGGAGAGTGCCACAGGCGGAGGAGGAGGAGGAGGAGCAGGAGGAGGAGGAGGGGGAGGAAATGGGGAAGGAGGAGGAGGAGTAGGAGCAGGAGGAGGAGGAGGAGGAGGCGGAGCAGGAGGAGGAGGAGGAGGAGGAGGAGGAGGAGGACGGTCAGGAGCGAGCCGCGCTGGCCGTGAGCCAACATGCCATGTGGGCACTGGCCGCAGCTCCGGCCGGCTTGAGATCGCGTTGGGGACGCCGTGGTCGGCCTTCCGGGGGGGTCCGCGCCAGGAAGGGCCAGAGCCGGGGCCCTGTCGGGGCCCAAAGCCTTCGCGTTCCCGGTTCCTGCTTTTACGAACAGGCGTCGACGTCGAAGGCTTCAGCCCTCTGCATACCCAAGACACGTAACGTCTCGACCAAAAGCAGGACGAAGTTGTTGTTTCTATTCTCAGCCTCTGGGGGCTTGTGTTGGGCCCCGGGGAAGTCGACAAGAGTACGAGGGGTGAGAAACCGGCCCTGGGGAAATGGCGGGGTGTCAGGGGGCCGCGGATGGAAACTATGAGGACACTGCTCGTCTGGATATGTTCTTGAGTGCGACTGAGCAGTGGGCGGCAGTATGGCCCAGCAGAGGCCCGCGATGAGCGATACGTCAGCCTGGGGTGCAGCAACTCCTAGATGGGGTCGGAGTAACTGGGGTCGAAGTAGCTGGGGTCGGAGGGTCACGCCGCATCGCCGATGCATCGCCGATGCGGCTCGATGCGCAGCCCGATTTGTTTCACGTCGACGTCGACGATGCACCGCCGGAGCATCGCAGGTGCATCGCCGATGCTTCGCCGATGTATCGCCGATGCATCCACGATGTATCGGTGAGGCAGCGCGATCCTCCAACCCCATCTACTCCGACCCCATCTAGGAGGCCTCTAACAGCGGGTTGTTGTGATCATCGTCCCGGGCTTGAGCGTGTGTCTCTGGTCGAGACGAAAGAACATGAGCAAAGTCAGTGGCACTGGGCGGGAGGAGGAGGAGGAGGAGGATGAGGAGGAAGAGGGAATGAAGAGAACAACGGAGGTGGAGCAGGAGGAGTTTTGCTCCTCCACGGGAGGAGGAGGAGGAGGAGGGAGGAGGAGGAGGAGGAGAGAGGAGGAGGAGGAGGAGGAGGAGGAGGAGGAGGAGGAGGAGGAGGAGGAGGAGGAGGAGGAGGAGGAGGAGGAGGAGGAGGAGGAGGAGGAGGAGGAGGAGGAGGAGGAGGAGGAGGAGGAGGAGGAGGAGGAGGAGGAGGAGGAGGGAGGAGGAGGAGGAGGAGGAGGAGGGGGAGAGGAGGAGGAGGAGGAGGAGGAGGAGGAGGAGGAGGAGGAGGAGAGGAGGAGGAGGAGGAGGAGGAGGAGGAGGAGGAGGAGGAGGAGGAGGAGGAGGAGGAGGAGGAGGAGGAGGAGGAGGAGGAGGAGCAACGAAAGCGGCTCCTTTCCAAACCCGCTGAAGGCCGAAAGCGCCCATACCCATCCAGTCTTGAGCTGAAGGAGTAACAGCAGACTCAGTGAAAAGGAGGAGGAGGAGGCCGACTCAGCAGGAGGCAGAGGAGATGGATCCGCAGAGAGGCCGCAGCTGCAGGGGGGGAGGAAGGCGAGAACGCGCAGGAAGGATAGGAGGACAGCGAAGAGGAGGTGGAGGAGGATAATCAGGATGACGGGGAAGGGAGGAGCATCGACTACTCGTAAGAGTGACCTTTCGTCAAAGTGACCTTTGGTGCGGGCCCAGTGGCGTCCCCTGATCACTGAACACGAAGCGGTAGCAGCGGCTTGCGAGCCCGGGTTTGATCCCCTCGCGACCCTCAAACAGTTGTGCACCAAAGGTTACCCTCACCCAGGGTCACTCTTGCGTGCAGCCGAGGGGGAGGAGGCGGAAGAGGAGGAAAGAAAGGAGGCGGAGCTGGAGCAGGAGGAGGAACAGCAGCAGCCTCAGGAGGGGAGGAGCCCCCGCTGCTGCTTTCCCCCCTATCCGCCTCCTCCTCCTCCTCCTCCTCATTATCATCATCAACATCATCATCAGCAGCAGCATCATCACAGCCATCACCACCATCAGCATCACCACCACCATCATCATCAACAACAACATCCACAACATAATCATCATCTTCCTCATCATCCTCATCATCGTCGTCATCATCAGCAGCATCATCCTAATCATCATCACCATCATCAGCATCATCACCATCATCATCTGCAATATCATCCTCATCATCGTCAGCAGCAGCAGCAGCAGCATCGTCATCCGCGGTATCCCCCCCATTGGGGGGGTGGGGGGGGGCAAGCGGTCTCGGCTCCTTCCCGCCGGGCCGTCTTCTGAGCTCCCCGGGGGGCCTGAGAAGGGCTTCTCTGGGATGAAGCAGAGGAGCCCAAGCACAGGATTGAAAATCTCAATCCGCCACAGGCCTGGGGTCCTGCCGCTGTTGCTGCCCCATCCCTCACAATGCGTTCCTCTCCTCGTCTCCTCCTCCTGCCGCCAGGAGCAGCAGCAGGGGCAAAGCTCTTCCTCCTGCGGCAGCTCCTCCGGTTCCGTCTGCTCCCGCGCGGGGTCCAGGTGTGCTGGCGGGAGCAGCTGCGGGGTGAGTGAATACGCCTCGCCCGATGGTGGCGCTGCGCGCCGCGTGTGCAGTCCGTCAGCCGCGCGTGGGAAGACGCATTTGCCCGCGCGGCTGTCGAGAAGAGGTTCGCGATGGCCCGTGCGGAGGTCGCAGGGGGGGGGGCACTGCGCTGATGCTCGAGCTGTGCGACGGCGTGATGCTGCTGGATGCCGAGTGGCCCTGCGTGAGCCCAGAATGGAGGGCTCCGTCCCGGGTATGACGCGTGCGGTCCGTGCTGCTCTGCAGTTGCGACGAGCAGATCGCGGCATATCTTGGTGGCATTGCTTCGAAAAGGGCGTCCAAGGCCCTTGCATCCTTATCGCGCATCTTTATGATACGGGCCAACTGTAGCCTGGGAGTTCTTTCCGGCGCCGGTCAAGCAGCGCCGCAGCGACTCCTGTGAGGTCGCAGCGCGTTCTGGCAAGCGTTTTCTTATTCTTTCCCAGCACGTTTGCCGCAAGCCCTCTCCGCAGCTCCTTCGAAGCGCTTCGGGGCTCCTGCGAAGCTCCTTTCACAAGCTTGCAAGCTCCCCAAACCATACATGCTTTCAAGCGTCCTTTCAAGCGTCTCCCACTGGCCTTCACGCGCTTCAGACTGCGCTGCTGTCCGGGCTTTGGATGCCACAGGTGCGGTCGGAGGATCGCGCCGCATCGCCGACGCATCGGCGACGAAATTCGATGCGGAGCTCGACTTTTTCCACGCCAGCGTCGCCGATGCATCGCCGACGTGGCGATGCATCGCCGATGCATCGGTGAAGCATCGTCGATGCGGCGCGACCCTCCGCCCCACCTGCGCTGAGCCCATCTCGGAGGCCTCCAGCCCAGGGGTGGGAAGCCGGCCCCCAGACCTCTCCTGCCGTGCGTTCCGGCCATAGTCTCGTGGCGGGCCCAGCCGCGGCGAGGAGGGGCAACCCCGAGGCCCGCGGGAGAGAGAGAGAGAGAGAGGAAGAGAGAGAGAGAGAGAGACGTCCACACAATCTCGAAGGAGCTCGAGGTTCGAGGCCCTCGGGGCCCGAGCCCTCCGGGCCCTCCCCCCCTGCTGCCTGGGGGCCCAGCTCGGCTGCAGCGAGAGGCGGCAGCCCGGCCAGCGGCCCCTCCGCGCGGTGCCGCCGGTGAGAGGCGCCGTGCGGCGACGCGAAGCCGGGCGACGCCTGCTACCAGACAGTGCCGGCCCCGCCCCTCTCCGCGCGGCGGGGGCTCCAGCAGTGGCGAGGCGTCCTGGCTCCCCTATGGGCCTGCCAAACATTGTTCTAAGCACCTTTTGCGGTTCCCACGAGATGTCCTTGGAACATATCTGGCTGAGACCGTTTTGCTTTGACGCACTGGGGTAATGTTCTAAAAGCATTGCTGTTGTTTTTAGAACGGCGTTGTTCTTAGAACGTTCTTGGGCTTTCGAATAACATCTCGTGGCAGGACTGTAGGAATGCCGGGACGGCCGGTCCCTGCTCAAAGGGGGGGGGGGGCGGGCCGTCGGGGGTCGCCAGAGGACACCACGCGCAGGCCCAAACCCCTTTCGAGTCATGGCAAAATCAGGCCCTCTTCTCTCCTCCTCCTCCTCCTCCTCCTCCTCTTCCTCCTTCTCTTCCTCCTCCTCCTCCTCCTCCTCCTCCTCCTCCTCCTCCTCCTCCTCCTCCTCTCCACTCGCCACTCAGCGGGAGGTTCTTCGCCACTCCCGGCCTCTGGGGGCCTTCAGCGGCCCCCGGGGGCCGTCAGAGAGCGACGCAGGATCGAGAACCGGCCCCAGGGAACAGGTCGAGGCCTCTGGCGGTCGATGTTGCGAAAGAATCCTGACGTCGGGGGCCTGGGGAGGGGGGTGGGGGGAGTGGGGAGGGCTTGTTAGAAGCTGAGGTGTCTGCCCTTTTCTAGTCTTGGCGGGGCCTTCTCGTCGCTACGGCCAGGTCCGTCTCGGAGTTTTCGTCAGGGCGCACCCCAGGACGGGTCTGCAGCCCGGAATCCCGAACCCTTCCACGACGGGAGGATTTTGGGCTGCTTTCGGCCTCTGGGTCTCAGAGGGGGTTCGAGACCTTCGGGGCCCACGTGGCATGTAAAGAGACAAAGTAAAACGCAAGTCGGAGGTTTGAGGTTGCATCTTGAGCGTCTTGGACCGATTTGTCGGCGAACTGGGACCCTATTGACTGTCTTCGGAGCATATTGGGGCCCTCTTGGCCCGTCTTAGGGCCCTCTTGGGCCCGAAAAGGCGCGCGACAAACCGCCTGGACCCGCAGGGTTACGCGCCAAGCCCAGGAAGATTTGTGAATTTGGGGTCCGGACCCTTTTGGGAACCTTTAGAATCGAGGACTGAGGCTCAGGGGATTTGGCATAGGACCTGAGGACACTCCCACTCCGTGCCCAACGTCACGGTGGCGGATCTATTACATAATGCGTCCAGATTTGTGGGAGAGCATATATTGCACCAGAAACATAACACAGCATATGGTAGCAACAAACTAAACAACCATAACCTTCACACACATGCACTGTATTGCAATAACATGGATTGGGAGTTCGAGCGTGCAGCAGAACATAACTGGAATGCAACATCAGAAACAGAGTTCAAAGCCCACTTGCATGATGGTCAATGCGAGTGCAACTATGATAGCGACATCCGAGTACCACATAATAGTATATCTAAAATGAAACCAGATGTAATCGATCCGACTACAAAGGAGCAGGACATAACTGAGCAAGGCAGATGCTATTCTGTACCATGACGTACTACTGTGGAGTCGTAAAGTGTAGAAGTGGGTTGAACGGAACACTACATAGCAGGGCAGAGTGTAGTATAACACAGTAGAAGAGAACATAGCAGAGCATAACGCAATATATTTTGTTCAGATAGTCCAGAGACGAACGTAGTTGACCGTCGTAGAAAAGACAATATCAGCGACCGAGTAAGTGCGTCCTGTCATGACGCGTCGTGTGCGTCTAGGTCTGGCCGGCCACAGGAACAAAAGGCGTAGCAACGACGATACGACGACGTATCAAACGTGACACTGGTCACGACGCAACGCCAGCACGTTCAGAGCATAACATCATAGAGCATACCATAATCGAAGTGTGACTCGAGAAAAGGGCAGCGACCGATTAACGACGCCCCTTCACACGCAACATGCGAGCCACAGTAACAGCGCTGGAGTCGGGAACAAGCGCCGAAGGTTTATGTGGGGATCGCTCGAAGACAAGTATTTGCGTTGGCGTTACCGAAGGTTTTTTTTGTACCTGGGCGCATCTCAATAGAATCACCTTGCGGCCGCTTCACAAGAAGGGTTTCTTGTAATTGGCCTTGCAACATGTTCTGTTGATGACAGCCTTGCCAGAAGATTCCTTTTGCTGTGGCTGACCGACCGGATCTGTGGTTTGCAGCGTTACACGAGGTTCCGTTCTGTGATGGTCCTACAAAAACATTGATATGTTTCTTCACAAGTGGATGTGTTTTGTTTGGGGAGTGTTCCATAAAGGTTTTTGTGGGCGCATCACAAAACACGTGTTTGAATAATCTTTCCTGTGGCGGGGTGCCGAAACGTTGTTGTGGCGGCCTTACCTACGGACTCCTTTTTGTTGCGGCCTTCCTCAAAGGTTCGTTTTGAGATGGCGTTGCAACATCAATATTTTCGTGGCGGCTTTGCAAACGAAATCTTTTGGAGACGCCCTTACAACATGTTTGTTTTGTGGGGGGGGAGGTTTTGCACAAAGGATGTTTCGTGGAGGGCGCACACAATCATTGGTTGTGGTTTTACAAGTGAATCCCTGCTGCCGCTAGTTTGAGAGTATTTCTTGTGGCGGCCTAGCAGATGTCGGGTGCCCTTGCGGGAAGCACGGACAACATTGAAGAAACCAATGAAGACCATGAGAGCACACCGAAAGCGCAACAACATTAAAACAACACATGAAAGCACATCGGAATCCATGGCACGCAAGCGGTAACACATGAACTCGCATACGTTGCGTTGGCGTTCTTATGTTACCGTTGTGGTTTCATTGTGGTTCGTGTTTCTCACTTGTTCCAACTGAGTTGCCCAGGAGGCTGCCGAACATGGGATGCCTTTGTTTCCTGTGGCGGCCTTGCGACAGGATTCCTTGTGCAGCAGCCGTGCAAAAAAAAGGATTCCATTTTGTGGCGGCGTTACAAGCGAAATCGTCGTGTGGCGGCCTTGCAAAATGGCATTCTTGAAACACGGCCTCCGTACAAAGGGATTCTATGTGTGGCGAGGTTTCCCTATGTGGTGGCCGAGCGAATTCCGACAGCCCCCGCGGAAAACAATGAACGGCAACGACAAAACGAATCACCAATCAAACACCCGTTTGAAGTACAACGAATAGGATTGCAAGCAAGCGAGCACACATGAAAGCACAAGACATTTAGTGTTTGCGTTTAGGGTTTTAGTGTTTTAGTTGTGTTCCTTTGTTTCACGGCGGCTGCCCAAATTGGGTTGGTAGCCTTGAAACGGGATTTCTGCTGTGGCGGCCGAGTAGATTCGGTGTGCAGCGGCCTTGCAGAAGGAGTCCTTTTGTGGAGGCGTGGCGGCGCGCGCAGGTGGCCCGTATGATATCATTATCCGAATCAGTGTTTGCACTTAGGGTGTTTAGTGTTTTTCTGAGGAGCCGGGGCTGCGTGGCGGTCTGGCGGCTATGCTGTCGCCGTCGCCGCCCTGTCGCCGCCCCGTCGCCGCCTCGACGCCGCCCGTTTTGGGGCTGTGTGGCGGTCTGGCGGCTATCTTGTCGCCGTCGCCGCCCTGTCACCGCCTCGTCGCCGCCTCGTCGCCACCCGTTTTGGGGCTGTGTGGTGGTCTGGCGGCTATCTTGTCGCCGTCGCCGCCCCGTCGCCCCCTCGTCGCCGCCCGTCGTCTGGGCCTGTGTGGCGGTCTGGCGGCTATGTTGTCGCCGTCGCCGCCCCGTCGCCGCCATGTCGCCGCCGGCCGTCTGCGCCTGGGTGGCGGTCTGGCGGCTATGTCGTCGCCACTGCCGCCTCGCAACCTGTATTGCACATTGCACCGTCTAGATTCCACAATATCGGTTCTCGTTTCTAAACGGAAAATAGGCTCTACCCCCCTCTTTCGTTGTAATGCTGCTCCAAGGCAAAGGGGTCCCCCTGGTAATTTTCTGGAGAAGTTCAAGTTTCGTTTAAGTTCAAAAAAAGTTATGGGAAAGTTCCGGGTTTTCATTTTCATGTTTCACTTATTTGTTTTATTAAAAAAATAGAATAGTAACGAATTCATTTAAATTCATATGAAACAAGCAATTATACTTGTATGTAGTATTGCATGTTGTTGCTTATTGTATCATCTTAACTTGTATTTGGTATTAGAAAACAATTGAATATTCTTTGTTTTTTGAATGGAATAATGACGAACTCATATAAGTTCATATGGCACAGCCGATCATACATGTATTTATTATTGTATTTGTTTTGCTTGCCGTACCATGTTGAATTGTTTTGATATTAGAAAACCATTGAATATTCTTTGTTTTTGAATGGAATGGTAACGAAATCACGCCTATGCCAATGCCAACGCCTATGCCTATGCCAATTTCGTCGCCCCTCCAATTGGGACATTCGTCATGCCCTATGCCAACGCCTATGCCTATGCCAATGCCGTCGCCCCTCCAATTGGGACATTCTGCGACACTGACGCCCCCGAGACGACAAAGACGCTACAGGGGCAATTTCTGCGACAGTAGAGCCCCTGATACGACGAGGGCGCTACAGAGACAGATCTCGCGACACTGCAGCCCCCGAGCAACAAGGGCGCTACAGTGACAAAGTTTGTAGCGCTACAGCTCCTGATCCGACGAGGGCGCTGGAGAGGCAGATTTTGTGACACGGCATTGCTTACCTCGCCCATTTCGGCACGCCCTTCGCGCATTTCGTGGCCTCATCGGGAGCTCCACCCAAGGCCCCGGCGGCCGCGTTCGCATAGGTGACCACGCCCATTTCGCCACACCCCTCACCCGTTCCGTGGCCCCATATGGGCCTCCACCCAAGGCCCCAGTGGGCGTGCCGCGCCGTGCAGCGCGCCACCCTATACTTCGAGATTTCTTGCAGATACGAGGCGGATTCAGCGAAAACGTCTAGCTTGTCTTCTCGCACCTCGAAGACGCTTCCCGTCATCCGCCAACGCCCGTCCCAGTTGCAGCCTGGAGCCCCAATATATATACATATATAT